CTGTTCATCTTGGTCATGCAATCAAAGGGCTGGGAAGCTACTTCATATGGTTGTTGCATTATACCACCAGGAACAAGTTAATCAATACCTCTTTTGTTCACCGAGTTGAGACACCTACAGAAGTACATGAGCAACAGGTTGTTGGGCAGTCCATGAGTTGGGCATTCTAACACAAAATTCTTAAAACTCATCCATGTCGCGTGAAGCTTTGGATACTATCCCTAAGTGTCAACATTTTAGATAAAGGGAAAAATATCACTTGAAACAATGTGATCAGCTCCTTCCAAGAAGTGATAGAATCTCTTGGCAACTCAGCCAACCACTTGCTTGCCTCATCCATAAAAAAATGGGAACAACCTTATACAGACCAATTTTTGCGATATGTTCTTAAATGAGAACGATCCATAGACATGAACAAAATTTTTCCTATGCTGATGAGGATCGCATGACCTAGCCCCAAAATAAACCATTAAATCATAGGAGCTAAATCATGGCTCTTTTGATGTGAAAATAATGTTTCCTTCAGCTGGAGGTAAATGAATGACCCCAACACCACCTATTTGGGTTGGTTCATTGATATCATTAAGGTTTTCGACACCTTCTTGGTGGACCACTTGGATACCATTACTTCCATTAGAACTTATCACTTCTTCTGTTTTAACACAAGCAACACAAAACCAAAAATAAAAGTAAGTAAATTCAACTATAACTAAAAAGAACACAATTCAACTTCACCAAAAGAATTTCAAACAACACCACTCCCTGCAGCGGTGTCATTTTGATTTAAGTTTCAAGTAGACCTCATCCAATTCTAGGTGTCAAAGATCGTAAATCAGTATAAATCCAACTAAATGAGTTGGGATCAAATCCCATAGGGATTTAGTACGTGTCACATCCGGGAAGCACCCCCTCGACGTAACTGTGTCGTCGTCCTCAGAAAGGACTAAGACTATGCTCTTAACATTTATCATTACATTTCATAGGTTAAAAAGTGGGGAAAATTAAAATTTTCATCTACATATAAATTATGAGGTTTACTTACAACTCTCGCTTACACATAGTATATACATAGGGAATTTATATAGACTCCTCGCATAGGAAACTACATAGGCTTCTACTTTTATTACACATATACAATATACACAATATAGAGTCTAATATAGATGTCTCATATAAAACAATCTAAGTCGGAATAGAAAAATTAGGGCATAGACCTTACATAAATGTATAAATGTCACTTAGGGCGTACAACAATGTCTTGAATAATAAGAGTGAAATGAATGCCATAAGACTATAACAAGTCACATAGGTAGAATGAGAAAAGGCATCATCCTCGAATCTTGAGGACATACCCACACTTGGAGAAATGATCCAGGCCTTCCTTGAAAATTGGCCACGAACCCTTCAACGACCAGAACCTAAAATGTTTGGGAAAAAGGAGAAATAGGGGTTAGTACATCACTCGTACTAAGTATAGAAACATATGCACATGCAATACAGAAGTCATGCAAAAAGGGATATTTGTTCAAACCATGCCAACTTACTTTGAAAAGCCTTATGCACAATGAATAACACATATAAACAATAAGAATATATTATTTAAGACAATAGCATATTCAACACAAGATCAACATCATCAAGTATAACCAAGTCAACATGTTCAATAACATATTAGTTAGCCAAAGCAACTTCAACATCATGTTACAACAACAAAGCATATATAAGATTTCATAACATAACAACATATACAAGACCCTTACTTATAAATCACCATCAAGTCTACAAGTGCAAGGGCCAAGTAAATCCCCATTACTCAATCAAGCAAACAAAACAAAGGATCATAAGCAATGCCTAACATCATATAACATAGCATCAAGAGTAGTCATCATCTTAGTTACCAATATAGACCAATAGCATGTTCATACATGAAACCAACATCTTATAGTATTATCAACATGTAAATTCAACATATGCATATTATTCACTCTATAAGAGCATAAGAACATAAGAGCATCCTTCTAATACTTCCCTCAATGCTAACTAGAGCAATGTATAGGTACAGTCTCATACCCCTACCTAGACTAAGTCAAACCCCTTAAGTCATCCTAGTTAGAGTTCACTTTATTACTTCATTGTACTTTCGAGAACACTTTTCTTAAACAACATAGGCCACATGATCTAATGATCCGGTGAAAACCTACAACGAAAGAAGGTGGACTAGTTGCAAAGGTAGTACCAAAGCATGAACATAACATCTAGGTGGATCCACTAGCTAGTATTCCTATAGGATAAACATAGTTCAAGAACTAGGAGATGTTCTTGGGACCCTCTTTATGCCTTTGGAATTATAGACTCCAATCTCATGAGTACAATAGTGAACCTACCTTTCCTACTTGGGAAGGGACACTCCTTACTACTAGTTCACTCGGTGCTAAGCTAGAGTCCCTTTTGAAATGTCTTTCTTTAACAATCATAACTTAGTTTAGGTCATAGGACAATAAATCCTTGTATAGTCATAGTCATTAGCTCAATAGAAATTGCATGAGAACACCTTTCATTACGACCCTCATATATGAGATTAGCACATTAACACCATTATATCATAGTAAGGCAAATAGGTACTTCATAACCAACCTTATATCATTACATCTTAAGCATAATCTCAAAAAAATAATCATGAAATTTCAATTGCATCATCATACCACACCTAATTAATCCAATTACAAGACATACTTCAATTGAACTTCATCACCAAGTACAAGACATCATAATTGAAGTAAAGGTTTAGGATATCAAGACTTACCCAATCTCCTTCAAAAGCCATCATCATGGTCTTACCATAATAGGTATAATAACATCAGTCAATAGTAATTAACACAATAGCTAGGTCAACTACATCAATACAATTCAATTATATACTAATTCATAACCAAGGGTTAGGGAATTGGGGTTGATTCATCACCTCTACCACAATACTAGGTTAAACCATCAAGAACTAGCATAATTATACAATAATGCATCATAATATAATCATAATAAGCAAAATAAACCATAGACAATACACTTTAGAAGATTAAATTCGTATTAGGAAGAAACCCATATGAAATCATCTTTTTGAAAACCAATTTTGGAAGAACCCTATGGAGAAAAGAATCCCAAAGGTGAAGAGTTTTCAAACCTTGTTAATATTTGAATATTGATGATAAAAATCACGCTTCTTGTTGCCTTAGAACCCTTAGAATTTGGTCTTCTATGGAATTTCTTTGGGAGAGAGAAAGTAGGGAGAAGGAGGAGTAATTTGGGTTTGGGAATTTGGGGGTGTTAAGTTGTGTTTGTAAGTTATATAGTTAATTATCTAACCTAATTAACCACCCGCTAATAAATCATTAAACCCCTAACCAATTAACTCAACTAAATGACCCAACTAAATTTTTACAGTAAAGTCACAAGCCTAATCTACAAGACCCCGACCAACGGGTCGTAGGTCTACCTATGTCCCCTTCCCCCAACCGTCATGCAGGTCAGTCGATAAGTTTAGAGAGTTGTCATTTGGAAACTTTTGGGAAAGTGTCTAAATGTTGGTTGAAAGAGGCATTGACGCCTTGTAGATTAGCCCACGCTCCGTCACCTGCAACCGTTGGTGCACACTGTCTTGTGACAGTTTCTTGGCCAAAATCGTTGGGTCCTCTTCAAGGACCCCTAGGGTGGTCCTTGGGGAGTTTTACCCGGAAGTTTTGACCCTAAACCTACTCTAATATGTGTTAGACACCTGTTAACCAAATTTGATCAATTTTTGACTCCTAAAAACCCCGTGACATAGGCTAAGGCACACTAGCACTTTTCACACTAGTCTCCAAACGTCACGGACGTTCCTTGACGTTTGACTCTAAAACATCATAAATGAATTATATACATTATTTTTTTTTACCTTAAAACAGTCTTAAAAACATTAGTTAATGGCACAAATTAAGCACTTGAGGATACTAAATCAATATAAACAAACCCCCAAATGAATTCAAATCTTGGACTCATAAATCCCTATCCTAGACATAAATCAATTCAATAGATATGCAAGAAAAGATCATATTCCTTTAATTCCATATTCTATCCCTCTATTCCTCTCCCAAGTTTAGAAAAAGACACTACATTTATTCTAATAGTGGTCAAACGTCAAATAGTAATCACAAGAATATCAGAATAACTAATATGATAAACACTTGTGCTAAATCAAAAATCACTAAACAATCATTTTATAAACTAACATTATACTAGAACAAGAAGTTTAAGTGTACATAGATTAAGACAAAATACAAGGGAATCATTCAAACAAAAGATGTAAAATAGCTAAAAGAAAAAAGAAGAAAAAATGAAACCCTAGACAAAAAGTTTTTTTCTACATTGTGTCCTCCTCCCCTAAAAAATATTCTTATGGATTATTTATAGATATAGAAACTCCTAAATGAAATATTTGAGTCCAGAACAAATTAGTAACTCAAAACCTAATAGAATTAAATTATACACGCTCTGCATTGTCCAATCGCCTCATAGAATTGGGTCTTTCATATGCTGCCACGTGGCAGCTTGTAAAATTTCTCGTTCCATTTCAACTTCTTGAATTTGCACTTTGACGATAAACATACTTAATATTATTATATTCAATTTAATTAATTAAGACACTTACTTAATTGTCTTTTATAATCTTTCATCTTTAGTTTATTTTAGGTCAAAATTTATTCATATTTAATTCGTTTTGGCTCCAAATTTCTTCATCTTTACACCAATTTACTTCTACAAATAAAATATACTATTTATCACAATCCATAAAATCTTTGTTTAAAAAGGACAAACAAAAACACTAAATATGAGGCAAATAATGATTAAAAATATGTATTTTAGCTTCACGTTACATTCAGAATAAGTTAAAGGGCAAAAAGGTGTGCTAAAGTGATGATCGGCGATTGACCAAATGGGAAAAGAGAGCTTCGTCGTTTTCATCAACAATGCCTGAAGATGAACACAAAGACGACTTTCCAAATGTAAACGATGAGTTCAGCAAGCTTGCCAAAGTAGACAAAGCACTTGAGAAAAAATGATGAAGTAAAGAGCGACGAAAAGACCATGTCGGTGACCCACTGATCGAGTATGCAAGTCTAACTAATCTCGCCAATCTAACCACGTGCTGAGATTTTTGCCAAGTTTTGGGGTAAGTATAATAGTTAGAAAGAGAGAGAAAGTTCGTCTTCTGCATTTGGATATTTTTCAAGATAGAAACTATTCTTAGTTTTTGAATTTTGAATAATTTTGTGAAGTAATTTTGGAGTATTTTAGCTATGTATTTGAAATTGAAGTTGTAATCTACAAACCAAGATGACCGATATTGTTTTCGATATACTTTCATTTACTTTTATGATAATTGACTAAAATTTCAATTCAAGGGGCGTGTAAATGGAAGTTGGTATGGATTAATTTGGTCGAAAAGTTCATGTTGCCCTCTTGGTGTTTTTTTATTGGTTTGAACTAATTGTTGTGTCTTAATTTATAAACTGGTGTTGTAAACTTAGTTCTATTTTAGATCTTCATATTTTGCTTGAAAATGATGATATGCGGTGAATGATTAGTTCAATGATTACATATTGAGTTTGAAATTCTTGTTTGCTTGAAAAAGGAACTGTATAAGGGTTTAACTTCTAAGTGTTGAGTTTGCTTGAAAGAGAAAACCCAAGTTAAGGTCATGATTGTTAAGTTATTTTTACATGGAAGGCTTCGAAAGAAGCTCCTATGATGAACATGTTGCAATTGAAATATTATACGTGTGTTTGAGATTAATCTTGTCTATCTATGAGCATCAACGTTAATGGGCAACCATATAGATCCTCAAATTGAAATCTAATCTCATTTCGGCACACTTTTAGACTATTATTATACGTGTGTTTGAGATTAATCCCGTCTAATATCATTGGTTTGTAAATCACTCTAATTAATATTTGGAATTATCCACCCTTGTTATTATTTGCTACGATATAGTGGATCACACTTTATATTCTTTATTGAATGCTAACATATAGCACTTCCTATGAGATTCAACCCTGACCTAAAACGTTAAACAAATATTATATAGCTAACAATCACCTACTCATTGAATTGTTATAGGAGTAAACTGAGCATTATCATGTACAAATATTAGATATATTGAGGTATTTTAATTAGCGATTTGTTAGCATTAATGGATAAAATATATCGATGGTAGTTTAAGTAGGAATGTAAGCATTGCTAAAAAAAATACAATTAAAAATTGTGAAAATAGAAACATGAAAAAATTGAATGATAATATTTAGTTATTTAGGAAAGTGATGATACTAGTGAGAATGAAAGATTGTGGTGGTAACTACAATATAAAAAATGGAAAAGTTTGAAGTAAAGGTGCAAAAGAATGAAGCCAAACATAGGTAACCCGTCCAGAATTTTAAGAGTTAGTCTCAAAATAATTTGAATTGGATTCAATCTCAACCCATTTAAGCCTAAACAATTATAAGAGAATCTTCAATTGAGCCAATTCATTCTCCAAATTTAACCTGTTTTAAACTTTTTACTAAGATATGTTCCTATATTTAAGGTATGAATTATTATCTATTTAGGCTTTTTGGATTTATCTGTCCATTTGTTACTTTTTTAAAAAATATTGAGCGGAAATTCGAATAATTATTATAAAAGTTAAAGAGTTTAACTGCTATCCACTGACGGTGGACAAAAAAATTACACGGACATTTTATTTTTGGAAATATTTAATTTTTTTAATTAATATATTTTAATATTATTAATATTAAAATAAAAATAATAACATAGTGTTATATGGTAACTTGAATTATAAATTAATTGTACAAATTTAATTAGGATTCTTATTTGTCTTACCAAAAATAAAAAATACATAATTTCTTGTGTTTTCTTAGTTGTATAAACGTTCTTCTTTTTCTACATAAACCATTGAAGCAACCAACTATCCACCATTGAAGCAATTTGAAACAATTATCATGGTAGCGTTTTCCTCGTATATCTTTTTTTACATAACTTATTAAGTCTTTTTCGCAACATGAATAAACGTTTCAAAGAAATATTCTTGTTTTAATGTATGAAGAAATTTATGTTTTGTAGTGATGAAGATATTTAAAGAATACGTTTAAGAACTTTTTAGCAAATTGAAGAAGTTCAATACATTAGCCATGAAAAATATTTAAAATTTTAAAGCTAACTTACCCTATCAGTCTAATATCTAATAATTGTGTATTGCAGGAAACTTTTGAAATCTCTAATTTAGAAGAGCAAAATGCAGAAGGAATTGAAGATTCCTTGGAGGATATAGAAAGCAACATGAATGCAGTTGTATCTTTTGTTCCTCAACTAGGTGAGCAAGAATTAAGAGAGCCTTACATCGGTATGGAATTTCAATCACTTGATACTGGATTTAAATTTTATCTTGATTATGCTCATCGTAATGGTTTTAGTGTGCGCAAAAATCGAATTAGTAGATCAAGAAAAGATAAATCCATTATTGGTCAAGAGTTTGTTTGTTCAAAAGAAGGATTTCGTTCAAAAAAATGTCTTGAGAATAATAAGCAACGAGATGAGACTAGAGAGAGGTGCAAAGTGATGATATATATGTCAAAGAAAGAAGAAGAAAAGTGGGTTATAGCTAGGCTTGTCTTGAATCATAATCATGAACTTGCTTCTCCTAATAGTCAGAAATTCTTGCGATCAAAAAGAAAAAAATCAGAGGCTCAAAAAAAGCTTATTGATCTCTTAAATAATTCTGGTATTCGTCCAAGTAAAATCGCATCAGTGTTAACTACTCAGGCGGGAGGCATAGAGAATCTCAATATAACTGGACGAGATATTCAGAATTATTTGAGCACTAAAAGGCAAAATTGTCTTGAGAAAGGAGATGCACAATTGATGTTGAAATACTTTCAAAAGCGACAATCTGATAGCCCGGGATTCTTTTATGCAATACAAATGGATGTGGAGGGTCATTTAGCTAATTGTTTTTGGGTAGATGCTAGGTCTAGGATAGCTTACAAGAATTTTGGAGATGTTGTCCTATTTGATCCTACATACTTGACAAATAAATATAAGATGCCTTTTGTTCCATTTACCGGAGTTAATAACCATCACCAATCCATTTTATTTGGATGTTCTCTTCTTTGGGATGAAACGAAAGAAACTTTTCAGTGGTTACTTCATACTTGGCAAGAGGCAATGTTTGGTATTTCCCCTCGTACAATAATCACAGATCAAGATGCTGCAATAACAAATGCAGTTGCAAAGGTGTTCCCGAATAGTGCACACCATTTTTGTATGTGGCACATTGAGAAGAAGATTCCTGAATATCTAAGTCATGTTTTTCATGCATTTGATGATTTTAAAAATAAGTTTAGTAAGTGTTTACATTGTACAACAACTCCTGAGGAATTTGAAATTGCTTAGATCGATATAATGAAAATGTACAATTTAGAAGAGCATATTTGGTTGCGTAAGATATACACCATTCGCGAGAAATGGATTCCAGCATATGTGCGAACTACTTTTTGTGCTGGAATGTCAACAACTCAAAGAAGTGAAAGTATGAATAAATACTTTAAAGATTTTCTTAACTCTAGTACGCCAATGAGTGTATTTGTGACGCAATATGATAAAGCTGTTGACGCTAGGTATGACAAAGTAAGGGAGAAGGATTATAAGACAAAGCATTCAAAGGCTATCTTGAAAACATTATATCCAATGGAGGATGAAGCAGCCAAAATATATACCAGAAAAATATTTCAAAAATTTCAAGAAGAGTTAATTCAATCTCAAAAATTTATTTCAGAAAAAATTGAGGTTCAGGATGGGATACATATTTATAAAGTGCATTTGTTTCAGAGAGAAACACCGACATATATTGTTAGGTTGAATCTTGAATTAAAGAATGCTACTTGTTCTTGTCATAAGTTTGAGTTCATGGGAATTTTGTGTAGACATGTGCTTATGATATTTATAAAGAAAGAGATTCACTCGCTTCCACCATGTTATTTATTGGATCGATGGACAAGGTATGCAACTACAGAAAAAGCTAATGACATTGCAAGTGTAGGATCACTTGCGTATAATCTGAAGTCTTCTACTATATGGTTTAATAACATTATGACACATTCTCTTGGGCTCTCTGAACGAGCTACTCGTTCAGAAAAGCATTATAAATTTACATATCAGAAATTGTTGCAACTAAGTAAAGAACTTGATGAACTTCCATATGAGGATAATGATAATGTTTGTGATGATCAAGTTAACGAGTCAAATAATGATTTGAACTCAAGTGAACAAAGAGAAAAATTTAGTTTGCTTGACCCTCCATGCATGGCTACTAAAGGACGCCCTCGTTCTTTCAGAATGAAAAGTGGTTTAGAAAGTTCTCAGAAGGTTAAAAGAAGCTCTTCGCTGAAATCAAAAAGAGAAACCAAAATCAGAAAAAAAGGCAAAGGAGTAAGGTAATTTTATAGTTTGATCTTTAATTTAATGTGAATTCATTGAATAAATCACATATTTCAATTATTTGCTTAATTTTCAGTTCACACATTAATGTTGAAAAGGAATTCAATAGCAGGGAAACAAGCATTAATGCAGATCCTACAATGGTAAGGTTTTATTTTGATAAATTAAGTGAATTTTGACTAAGACTTATTCTTATGTATCATTCTCTTTTTAGCTAACAAATTTTTCTTTTATTTAATCATTTTTAAAGGAATTCTCAGCATATTCAGTACCTTTTGAAGGGCAAAGTGGTCGTGCTGATTCATATCCAACCTCATTTATGGTGGGTTTATTTTACTGCGCTTGTATGTATTTTATTTATAGCATATATGCATTTGTAAACAATTACTGTTTCAGGATTTGATGAGAGCAACTTCGTATCCATATCAAAGAGGTTTCTAATCTACAAGGTGACTTGGAGTTTGTGGAATTTAAAACTATAAAGGATGTCTAGAGAGACAATTATTCAAAATTCATTTTGTTCTGTTTTCTTTCTTTGGCAGAATATAAATCCAGGGATATTTTTTGTTCAAGACTTTTTTTCTTTTAAGTTTACATACAATAACTCAGAGTTTTAGCTTTAGTTTTTTTTGTTGATTGTGTTTTTATTCATAGTGAATTAGTTACTCTTTTATGCCTTCATATATGTTAGCAAGGATACTCCACTCTCTGATACATAGCAGCAGCAATAACAACGTATAGCAACAAAAAAATTTCACCGAAAGAATAAAATTTGTAACCAAGCATGCAATTGTGATTAAATCATGGGCCGTATTTAATAGTGTTTGATTTTGTTTGCTTACTCTTATAAGTTTGAATATGTTGATTTTGTTGCACTTTATGTTTCTGGAATAGTTTCATATTAATATTTTGCTAGCATTGCTTCAATGGCAACAAGTACCGGTTCTTATAAAAAAAAATAATATGTTGGCAATGATTTTCTTTGAAGGATTGAAGTGCTTTCCAATAAGAAAACACAAGAAATTATGTATTTTTTATTTTTGGTAAGACAAATAAGAATCCTAATTAAATTTGTACAATTAATTTATAATTCAAGTTACCATATAACACTCTGTTATTATTTTTATTTTAATATTAATAATATTAAAATATAATTAATTAAAAAAATTAAATATTTCCAAAAATAATATGCCCGTGTAATTTTTTGTCCACCGTCGGTGGATAGTAGTTAAACTCAAAGTTAAATATCATTATATTGAATTATTGAGATTAATTGAGTTAAATTGGGCAGGTCAAGAGCCAACCCGTTTTTAGCCCATTTGGACCCAACTCAGTTGAGCCCAAATTCAATTTGGGCGGGTCAAGACCCAACCCAATTTCTATCTCGACTCATTTTAATATCTCCAATTTCAATCTAATCCGACCATTTGACACCCCTAGGTTGAAGGTACAAGAAGGAATGAAGTGAAAACAAAATAGATTTCTTTTAAAAAGTAATAATAAATTACGTGTCATTTAAGATGATATAATTTTTGTGAACTCACACATAGTGAAAGGAGTTTGATGAGATTTTTAGAATATGGTGTCAATAAGGTTTCAAAATAATTGGGTGGTGATATGATAAGTATAGGGTGTAGATGACAATTATGTGATTAATGATTAAGGATTGTGGAGTTGCCCTCAAGTTTATAAGTTGACAGTTTGGTCCACTGAATTAAATGAAGGGTAAAAGGGTAATTTCACAATACCTAATTTAACCAACTTTTCTGGGAACTAAATGAGGGCTAAAAGGGTAAATTGACTAAATCAAACCTAATTTAACCAATTTTGGTGGGAAATACGAGCCAGAAGGGGAAATAAAAGTTTTTACCTCCCTCCTTCAGCCGTCGTATTCGTCCTCTTCTTCTTCTTCTTCTTCGTCTTCTTCTTCTTCTGCAACTCTCGTCTTTTCTTGCTTGCTTGCCTTTCTTCCCGCTCTCTTCATTTTCTTCTTCTTCTTCTTCTTTTTGTACATCGTGGGTCTTAGCTACTAGGGCTTGTGCTTTCTTCTTCTTGAATCAGATTTACCTAATTTGTAACTAGTGGACAAAATTTCGTTTTGTTTCAATTGGAATTAGTTCATAAGCGATTGGGTCACACACCATTGTTTCTAGTAAGTAAAATTAATAGTTATTTGAAATGAATTCATTATCATCTGATCTGGGTACCTGCTATTTTTTCAATAATTTGCATTCGCATTTCCAACATATTGTTATATATGTTGCAACGGTTGACTATTATAACTTATTATAGTCATATGTAGCAACATAATTGTTATTTCAATCGCAACAGAACAATCATATAGCAACATATAACTTACATCTCGTAATAGAAAAGCCATATATAGCAACATATGATATAATAAAAACATGTTGCCACATGTGATTTATTGTCACAACAGAATAGTCATATGTAGCAACATATGATATAACATAAAAATGTTGTCAAATGTGCTTTATTTTTCACAACAAAACAATCAAATGTAGCAACATATGACTTACATCTCGCCACAGATATGATATAATATAAACATGTTGTCACAATTTATTGTCACAACAGAACAGTCATATGTAGAAACATATGACTTACATCTCGCCACAGAATATTTATATGTTGCAACATATGATATAAATATAAATATGTTGTCACATGTGATTTATTGTCACAACAGAACAGTCATATGTAGCAACATATACATCTCGCCACAGAATAGTCATATGTTGCAACATATGATATAAATATAAACATGTTGTCACATGTCATTTATTGTCACAACAGAACAGTCATATGTAGCAATATATGACTTACATTTCGCAACAGAAAATCTATATGTGGCAACATATGATATAACATAAAAATATTTCATATGTAATTTATTTGTCACAACAGAACAGTCATATGTAAACACATATGACTTACATCTCACCAAGGAATAGGCATATGTTGAATCATATACTTATTCTTCATAATTACTAAATCTTTTTTAATTAATTTCTTCAAGTACAATGTCATTATTTGTAAGATTGATTGTCTTGGTGAATGTGTCGAGAAGAAAAAATATATTCATATGGCGTTGGGAGATTAGTAAAAAATAAGGAGTCGGTTCAGTAGGGATGTATGTTGAAAGAAACATTTTGTATGATGAATTCTTAAATTTAGTCGTGCAACAATGTGAATACAATTGTAAACCGCAAGATCTTTTCATGAGTTACATCTCCATTTTTCATAATGAGAAGGTTTTACCTTTTAGATTAACTAATCAATCTAGTTTGATTGTTTATTTGGGAGGAACAGAGAAACCGCCCATATTAAGAGTCTACGTGGAAGAAAATTCTATTGAGGAGGATCATAATATAGACGAAGGCTAACAAGATATGCTTAATGATGAATTTGATCCTGCGTACATGAATAATCCCGATGATGAAGTTTGAATAGGCGAAGGTGAAGGTGAAGGTGAAGATGTAGGTGAAGGGTCGGACCTTGAGAGCAACTTTCCTCCTACACCTATAGTTGGCAGCAACAATCCATGTGTTTCTCAATCTTCACGTGTGAATAATGTTCAACATGATGAAACATGTTTTTATAAGGGAATGACATTCAAAAACAAGCAAGAACTTGCAAATTCATTGAAAATTGCTTGCTTGAAAAAATATTTTAGACTGAAAAGGTTATCGATTTTCGTAATGTGTTTTCCTTTAAATGTTCATATCCGGATTACAATTGGTGACTGAGGGTTGTTAAATTTACAAGTAGCGACACGTTTGCCATTAGAATCTATGAAAAGTACCATACGTGTGGTTTAGAGCATCTTACAATACAAAATCCCCACGCCACGGTAAAAATTATAGGTAAGTACTTTGAAAATAGGTTTCCCAATGGTGAAGGACCATCCACAAGAGACATGTCGAATCAACTCCGCACAGAATTAGGTTGTAAGGAAAGATATTGGAGTATTTACAAGGGCATGGAGCATGCTAAGTCTAATGTTAGGGGAACACATGACCACGGGTATGCAGTGCTTAATGTGTATCGTTATATGCTTGAAGTTGCGAATCCATGAAGCAAGACGACATTGTCGATCGAAGAAAATGGGGGGTTCCAGTACTTATGTGTATCATATGTTGCTTGGATAGTTTTCAAGAAATAAGAAAAGTAATAGTCGTTGATGACACATTCCTGAGGAGAAAGTATGGAGGAGTTCTGCTATCGACAGTGGCAAAAGATGCCGAGAATCATATATTTTCAGTGGCTTTCTGTGTCGTGGACAAGGAATGTGATGCCTCATATGAATATTCTTTTCAAAATATGAAAAGATTTGTAGATGATACTGATGAGTTGTGCATTATATCTAATAGGCATCCAAGTATTCGAAAGATGGTTACGATAATCTACCCTGCATCTCATTATGATTGTTTCATGAGACACCATGGGGAAACTATTTGAACTAACTTTCACAATTCGAAGGTAGTGTCTCATTTCTATAAAGCAGCAAAGGCATACGATATATGTGAGTTCAATGATCATTTCAATCAAATAAGAGATTTGGTACAAAAAGTAGTTGAAGCTCTTGAACGTATTAGATTCCACACTTGGAGTAGGGCATTTGTCTTGGGAAATAGGTTCCATGTCATTTGAGTTTACTCTTACTTTATGTGCTTTGTTTGATTTTTATCTTTTTGTGTGTAGATATAACATAATGAGGTCAAACAACGCAGAGTCGGTGAATGTAATCTTTGATGTTGAAAGAGAATTTCTCATTGTCGCACTATTTGATGAAACAAACAAGAGATTTGCATTGTTATTCGGCGTATGGAATTGGTGCACTCTGCAAATCGATTTGTTTCTTCAATTGAAAAAGACTTATCAGAGTTTGTCAACGTGGGCAACATGTTGTTGGCCCATCAAATCTCTAACTACAAGTTCAGGGTCACTAGTCATGGAGATGTTACTACTCTGGATTTACAAGGAAAAACTTGTACTTGTAGAATTTTTTACTTGGACAAATACCTTGTCCATATGTCATGGCACGCTTCGATCCCAACATGGTGCCGATTTTGAAAACCAAATTTACTTGTACTCCTCTCCATATTATTCGGTTAAAAATTACATAATGGCATATATTGTCAGGAAATTCACCCGGTGCCACCTGAAGATTCTTAGATTGTCCCTTTGGATATCAAACAGAGAGAAGTACCTCCTTCATATGTTAATCCAAGTAAACCCAGAAGAAGGATATAAAAGAGACGACGTGGAGTTGGTGAATCATTTCCAACAAGAAAAAAGAAGAGTTATGTATGTAGGGACTTTGTCCACAAAAAAACTACATGTCCAAATCGAAATGCCCCATAAGAAATGTTGTTGAATTTTAATGAATGTTCTTTCTTATTTGAGGATGATCCCTACCTTCTTATCTTATTTATAATCAACTTATGTGATGTTATTTATATATAATGTGTGATTTATTTAATTATGTGTTGCTACTTACAACAAAATATTTCATCTGTTGCAACACATGACAATTATGTGTTGTCACTTAACACATAATATTGCATCTGTGGCAACATATGCCAATTATATGTCAGAATATTGCATGTGTGGCAGCATACGCCACTTAATGGTTAGATCTTACAACATAAAATTGCATCTGTGCCAACATATGTCAATTATGTCTATTAAGTACCACAAGAAACGAATTTGTACCAACATATTTTTAAAAATATTTTCTTGTAATATGATGATGTCATTAGGAACTATAATGACGCGACACTTCAATTTTTTTTTAAAAAAACCTTTAGTGACACGAATCTTTAATTTTTACCAAATTTGCAAAAAAAAAATAAGTACATGCATTTGAATTCAAATTTTACTTGTCTCTTTCTCTTCTCTTACAACTTTTCAAAATTCACTGAATTTTCAATATGAATAAGAAATCTTCAAAAATCACTATG